AAACACATGCACACACACACGCACGCACATGCATACATACTAGAAGGCCAAATACCCCGCTCTCCCTCTAGCAGGGTGGGCTTCGTGAACAGACAGAATTTAAGATGAATGGAAATTGTTCTCAGAACAGGAAGGAGTTCCAAACTGAAGGATGAAGAGGCTGGTGAGCTGAAATTTTAAATAGTGAAGGGAAGAAGTCTGAGGAAGAGCCAGCCCCCTAGAACCCATCCCCAGCCCTCCCCGCAGTCTGCCTTACCCCGTCACAGCCAGAGGAGGGAAGAGTAAACCACTCAGGGCAGGCGATCAATGGCAGCTGAAGAAACAGCACTTCCGAAGAGCCAAGTCACACTGATCGCCCCCATCCCCCAAAGCCAAACAAGGTAATACTCCCTCTTCTACCTGTCCACATCCTAGTTCATGTCTTAATGGGGGGGGGGGCTACTTCTAAACATGGGTCTGTTTTTTCTTATTTCTTGTCTTATAAAATTGTGGATGCAAGGCAGGGGTGCTGGGCCGAGCCCCAAGCTGCATTCTGGGGCCACACACCTGGAAACACAAATTCTGCACCCACTCAAAGTGCCTTTCCAGCACCGAGTGGGAAGAGCGCTGCTTGTTCTGTGCACCAGGTACCCAGCAGCTCTCAGTCCGTCTTTCCAGCTTCAGAATCCTGGCTCCAAAGACTCGCAGCATCACTGAACGAGTTAACCTTTAATGTTAGGTTCTGTGCAAGTCTTTCCATTTTCCTTTCTTCTCTACTCGGTATGCACGCGGTTGCACTTAAAAGTCTCAGAAATCTTGGCTTTTATCTCTAGACGTGCTGGCAGAGAATGTCTGGCAATAGAACACTGCTCATCTGGAGGGGGTGAGGGGAGAGCTGAGAAACTGGCCTGATGATTTTTCACGGGGTCCTTCCATTAAACCCAGAAGCCCTTTCTCCTCTGAGGTTCCCTGCACTTCTGCATCCTTTCAACTAGACTGCTCCTTGAGTCCAAAAGAATTTTTAACTGTATTCCCAACAGGTTACTGTAATCTAGATACTGGTATTTTATTTTTTGGTACTTCTCCTATCCTTTCATCTTGAAGACAGCAGAACAGGTACAGTATTTGTGGATTTCACAAGGTTTGTCACTTCTTTTGCCCCATCTGTTAATGCTCTGGAGTCTGCAGAGCTCAGTGAAGGCATTATTAAGCAGCACATGAACTATGCATCTTAAGTATTCAACATGGTATGAAAAAAAGTCTTAATTTAAAAACTTTAAATTTTCAAAGAAAAAAGCTTGGGGTAGTTTTTTTTCTCTTAAATTATATTTCATTTTCTTGATCTTTCTGGTCTTTCTCATGCCCTTTAGCACTTTTCTAAACATCTGAACAGAACTTGCAATGATTACACCAAGGGGTAGACATCAATGTGCTCCACTGACTGCACAACCAGGCCAGGGACCTCTCTCTCTCTTTCCTAACACCCTTGAAAGAGTCAACCACAACCTACTGGATGTGGATGAAAGGACAACATATGACAGTGCCCCAGATCATTTATGCCTTTCCTCAATATGCCTCAGTCTCCTCATCTACAAAATAAGAAGGCTAACCTAGATAAATCTTGAACACTCTTTCCAGCTCTATAATTCTATGATTTTAAAACTTATTCAAAAAAGGATATAACAAGAAAATCCTACCATCTCAGCTCAGCTCCATGTCCTGAAACCTTCATGCTTTTCCAACTACCTCCCTGGTACAGTTCAGTTTGGGCATCTTGCAGATTTGTAACAAATAAGTTAAGATCATCCTGCACACAGACAGAAGACACTTCTCATGTCCTGGCTGCAGAAAGCCCTAATCATAAGTCTTGTGACGCCAAGAACCAAAAGGCAAATTTTCTTCTTGGAAGAGAATGCACAATCCTTTGCGAATCAGACAAGCAGGACTGGCTGATTCTTTGTACCTTTTTAATATCTCACGTACTTCTTTTTCTCTCATGTTAAAAAATTTCATCTCTTATCTCTACTTTCGAGGATATTAAAATGTGAAGCACAGCATCTACAGCAAGTCAACACAGAATGAGAAGGACCAGAACTCAGTGAACATCAGATCACAAGGTGCGTCCCATTATCTTTCACACCAAGCTTTCTGCCTGGCTCTGGGTTCTATGAGTAAGGGGACCACAAAATCATCCAAACAGGATAAAATTTCTGAATGTGAAGGAGGTTGCTAAACAACAGGTGTTAATCAATTTATAGGAGGCATAAACCAAGACTTTCCCATGTAAACAAGACTGTCCTGTGCAAACCTGGATGTATGTTACCTATCTGTGCTTAATATCAAAAGCTTACAGTGAATTCATAACAAAAATCATAGACATGATCAGCAAGCTGGCCTCCAGCCCGTTTAGGAAGAAATCTCTAAATCAGCATCACTCTCTCCTGGATTTCCTCCTACTGCCCTGCCCTTCCTCTCCCATCCAACGTGCTGGAGTTCCTCAGAGCTCTTTCTTGGGCCCTAATCTCTTTTCTTCTCACTCTATACCCTCTCTCTAGGCAAGATGATCTACTCCTAAGACTTTAAAAAAGAAAAAGAGGAACCTTTATCTTCAAGACACACCCCACTTCCAACCTCCACACCTACATTCACACACAACTATCTTCTCAATGTCAGACTTCTCAAACTGAACATGTCCAAAGAGAAACTCTTGATCTTCCCTATCCCAAGATCCCAAATATCCCGATCTCTCCAGAGGCGCCATGGCCTTAAAGCGCCTCCATCTGTTCATGAGTTTGGGCCAGAAACCTACAAGTCCTTTTCAACATCTCCATTGCCCTGATCCCACAACGACCAAGAACTGCTGATTTGGCTCTTAAATGTAACCTGAATGAGTTCACTCTGTCCATCCCCATTGCCTCCACCTACCCCAAGCTCCCATCATTCTTCCCTGGAGAGTAGGCACCTCTGTGCTGGTTCTCCATCCTTTGATATTTCCCCATCTTCACCTGTATATCAAGCCCACTTCCTACCGTATCCATTTCCTTCAAGGCAACCAGAGCAACCTTCATAAGATGCAAGCAGGACCACATCATTCCTTGTTTAAAACCTTTCCCTGGGCCCCCACTGCTCCTAAGATTACGTTCAAAATCCTTAACCAGACATCTGATGCCAACCTGCTCAGTTTCTCTCATAGACTGAACTCCTTTCCCCATCAGAGCTTTCTCACTTGCTCTTCTCTTTGTCTGAAACAGTCTCTTACAGGGCTCCTTATGTCCCAGTGCATTCGCACACACACATACACATCCCCTTTTTCTTGTCTATCTCCACTTATTCTTGAAGCTTGGTTTAAACGCCATCTCCTTCGGGAAGCTTTCTGACCAGAGTAGGTCTCTTAGGCGAATGTGCTCAAAGCACCTGTATCCTATTTTAATTAGTGATATTTTAATGTCTATCTTCCCCCATATTAAGTACTCAATAAAGAGTACTTAAACAAAAGAGTGAAGAGGTGGAAGGTGGGAAGTGAAGGAGGGGTTAGGCAAAACCTACTTACACTCCTGTAGCCTGCCCACACTACCCAGCCCCCCCAATTCTTGATGGGGCAAAACGGAAAGAGAGAGAAGTGAAGCGAGGAAAGATGAAAAGGAAGGATGAAGTTGGGAATAATGAGCAAGGAGGTGAAAGAACCACCACATGATGCTTCAGGCCAACTTCCAAAATAGCTGGTACTCTTCATTTGCATCTATTTTTATCTCTACAATGCCCACAATGGAGATAATATTCCAGAAAGAGGAGGAGCATGGAAAGGGTGGGGTGAATGACACTAAATAGTTATTTGTATGTAGGCAAGTCACTCGACATTCACGGACTTGGGCTTCATGGTCCATGAAGATATAAAACAAGATGATCTCTGAGGTTCCCTCTGGCACTCACATTCTGTGAGTCTTAGTGGGATGGTGGTGGCTTAGATCCGTGGCACCCACTCTATGCTGCCGCCACCATCATTTTAACTGAAACGTGGCGTGTTCCCCCACACCAAGGGTGGAACGGTAAGTTCCTCCATTACATGTGTTAAAACAATGCAGAGCTGAATCTCTCAGAGCTCACCACGAACACACCATCTTCTGAGAAGGGAGGAATTCAGCCCCGCCTCCACTGTGAAAGCCACTTTGAGATCAAAGTTTCCCAATGGAAACAAGTGCCAAAGGTAGGAATCACTGGAAGCACATAATTTAAGTATTAGTGACTAAAGGGATCCAGCAAAAGCAATTCAGAATAGAAATGTCCACTCTCCCAGGCTTCCCCCGCAAAAATTTTTTTCAGTTAAAATATGACTTTCCATGTAACAGCCCAAGTTTCTTTCCACTTGATATATTTTAGATTGGTATTTCCCAAGCCTCCTAATTCCCACTCTCCTTTTCTGATTCCATTTTTCAGCAAACAAGAGATGCTCATAGAGACAGGCAGAATTAGAACACAAACGAAATGGTGTGTTCACACATGGGCAACTTCAGGATCATTGGTTCAGTGAAACAGATACTAAATTACTTAAATCAACAGTAGCATTTATAATACATAATGAAAAGGCAGCAAGGATCTCATGGAGCAAACTGGGAACAGTTTGTTATGTTGGTCAAAAGCAATGATGGTCCTATTAGTTAATAAACCAACAAGAATAAACTGAAGAGTGATTTATGTTCATCGTAAAATTTGTCAACATTTTCAGGAAAGAACCGCACTGTGTTTGTGAAAGCTATTACTATAAATTTGGTGGATTTAGTCCACATGTCTGCCCAGAGTGAAAGAGGACAAGCTAACAAGAAATGCTCCTCAGATTCCTGAGTAGTATGCCAGGGCTCAAAAGGACTCTACATCTGTTGATCAGTACAAGCCAAAGTCATATGAGACTAACTGATAAGTCTTCCATTAAGAGTATGTGCCAAAACAACAGTTGTACAGGCATTAAAAAATATTAAACTCAGAAACCTGCTTTAACATCAAATAATAGTTTCCAGACTACTTACATCAGTGTCAGGTCCCTTATCCGCACCCGGACAAGAAAAAGTAACAAATTCATGGCACCTCTTATGAACCACAAAGCAGCAAACTGGTGGAGAGAAAAGAAAACCAAAATTAGAATAGTCTAGATTTAATATACAAGCTTTTGTTTTCCAAACAGAGCTACGTGCTGTTAGAAGTCAATTTAATTTCAATGCAGACACAATCTCAAATAACAGTCAGAAGATATTTCATTTGAGACTCAGCAACATTTGGTATTGATTGAAGTCATAGATAACAGAATCACACAATGCCACACCGACAAGGGCCAAGGAGACCTAGACCATACTTCCTATTCTTTAAAGTTGAGGGAGAGAGGGCCAGAGACTGTAAGGCAGGTCCCCAAGGTATAAACAGGAATCAAAATTTAAAGGACTTTGCACTGTCCTATACCAACACACATGTGCATTTAAATGTTTGTAAATGTTACATCCTAGGGGTGAAATAAGCTACAAAGAGAATAACTGACTATAAATAATATATGGCTATCCCTGAACGTGGGTTGCAGAACTTCCTCAGCAGAATTCTGAACTTAAGGAACTCGTTAAGACACAAACCCAACCTACAGAACACAGTTCCTCTGAAATGAAAAGTCAGGGAACACCCTCACACCTCCTTGTTATCTGCCTGCTTGCCACAGATGCTGTTACTAGTTGGGGGACTTCTCACAAATTTACCAAAATCCACTACACATCCAATATTTTCCAAGCTCAATGTGGTTTTGATAAATCATCCTGAAGATGAATCAATAAAAGAGCCGTTAGAGAAATTAATAAGTAATCCCCTAAGAGATTTTTATGAATACTATAATGTGGAAGATACAAAAAAAAATGACCTACTTATTCCTTTCATTGAAAGCTTGATGTCTAGCTCCAAAGGACTTAATCTACTACGCTATTGTTCTTGGTTGAAAAACAACATGCTAAAAGACAATATACCCTCAGAAATACTGGGTAGGTCCCAAGGCTTCACCGCAGAAGGCAGGCGAGAACTTCCAGATTCTTAGCTCATGTACTCTTTTCTTCTCTCACCAATGATACTGCAACTCAATGCTCAAGTGTCAGTAGATGAAGCCAACTGAAGAGGGCCAGTCATCTTAGTGGGTGGGAGAGGACGGCAGGTTTGCTGAGAGCTGAGATCCCAAGAGGAGATCAAGTACTGAGTCTAGTACTAAGAGGAGACTTAGAGGGCCTTGAGTGGCCAATAAGAAATTGAGTATTTCTGACAAGCGTTGGCAGCCACTGAAAGGTTTGAACAAGAGTAACACAGACAAAAGCAGTGCTTTAGAAGGGCAAACAGTGGTGATAGGAAGAATTTAATGGAATAGATTTGGGCCATAAAGCCCAGTTAGAAGCCTCTTATATAGTCTAGGAAAAAAAGTAACAGTCCATCATTACTCAGTCTGCTAAGAAATGAAAGTAATGGATACCAGAGAAATTGCAGAAGAACTGACAAGACCTGCCAACTGACCAGAGATACCATTTATTGAGCATCCTAGTATGTGTCATTTTGATGGGGCTTTCACATGCATTATCTAATTGCATCCTCATGACACCACTTCATATGCTTTAATATCTACATCTTATGGAAGAGAAAATATTGTATCGATCCCCAGCATCAAGTACGCTGTAAACATACAATATTTGTGGACAGAAGAGAGGATGAGAGAGGAAAGATGGATGGATAGAGCAAGAGAAAAATGAGGGTCTTGCCTAAGGTCACCCTCCTACTATGTAGTGGAGCCAGGATCACACTAAGGTTTGTTTGACTCCACAGCCCCTTTTCCTTCCACCATGTCATATCCATGGACAGGAGCAGAAAAGATATAAGAGGGGATGCCAAGATGTTGCACATGAACGACAGAAAAATGGTACATGACGACAAGAGTTATGTATATATAATAAATATATTCATATTTATGCATATATATATACATATATATGAAGCCCAGAGGATGAAGATGTGGGTATGTCATGTCAGGGAAATAGGACAAGGGATGACTGTTTTCTTTTAAGGCAGTCATAATACAATGTCACTATAAAAGTAGTTTTTTTTTTTTTTTAAGCAAATGCAGGCTTGGCATGAGTAGGCAGAATTGGACATCCGAGGGAACCATCCACAGGAAAGTGACACTAGAAGATCTTTTAAAGAGCATCCCTTTAGAAGCAGAGATGCCCTGAGTGAGGGGTTCTCCTTGGCTGTCTGCCATGCCCACCACACCTGCCCACTGTACACAGTCGGAGAAGGAGGTGACTGAAGTGACAGAGAAAAGAGCCCCCAAGCTGCCCGGGCAGTGCCAAACACTGCAAAGGGCAGCACTTCACTCCTACGAGCCCTCGGGGCAGTGTCCTTTCCACTGTGTTTCCGCTAAAAGCACTCCATTGCAACACTAAGGATGGCTAATAAAGCAGTGCTGTGATGTCGCAAATTAATCTCATCTGCTCACTCTCCCCAGGCACAAAGTCATCATTCACTCACTGGAATTAGAAAGATAAATTACTAAAGGAAAACGGTCACAGGAGCATTATTTCCTCATCATAGTTTATTATGAATATGGTGTTTTGAAGGGAAAATAAGCATTCTGATTGCCTACTTAACAAACATTTGGGTCTTTTTTTTCTTTTTTTTAAACCATCTCTGCATTCAGGTGAACACTTAAGAAAATCCATAGTTATCAAATCCCTTTGGAACGATAGTTTGTTTTCGGGATGTGTTCTTTCTAGCCCCACTTACCCGTAACTGCAATTATAAATCTCCAGCTGGAAGTATTTCTGTTGTACACCTCAAAAAATCTCTCATATCCAATTTTATCCTAAGAAGAACCAGGCCCTCATTGCACAATATCATTTGCAAGGGCAGCAAAAAATCCTATCTACCTCAAAATTACTTCCTCCCAACCTGCCTCAGCAGTCCCCTCTGCTTCTACCTTCCATGAGAGTCATACATCTAGAAGAGACTAGATTCACCCAACAGGAGGTGGAGAGAAGGGTTGTGCGTTTCCAGAGACACCCTCATAGATGTGAGTTATCTAAGGGATAAAGACCCTGTAAGCCTGTTCAAAGACTCAAAATTCAGAAAAAATGAAGAAATAGAAGTTACTCCCTTCCCTAAACTACCCCCAGTGAGGAAAGCAGGGAAGCTTGGTGTTGGCTGACTCTGGCTGGATGCAGCATTCGCCTGGGAAAGGCTGTCCCCAGAAAATTGAGCAAGGGCCAGAGATTCCAAAATCACTTATGGCTGGACTTGAACCTTGGTTTCAAGTTGCAAACTAAATGGAGCAGTGCATATTTTGTAAGAGAATATAATACAAACAGTTGATAAGTCTTACTACTATAGTTGAAGAATGAGGAAAAGACTGGCTCAATAAAACAAGAGAATGCACTGGGTTGACCTAGAGATGGATAGCACAGACTTCCCTCAAGCTGAAAATTAGGAGCTATCATTTTTATCCTTTTTATTTAAAATTCTAGAGGTCTTCACCTCACCATGTTATGTGGAATAAGGGGCATTGGGGAAGAGGAGGGGATAAAGTGGAACCTGCCACACACTATACTTTCCATCAATAGTTGCCTGACCTTGGCAGGGAGGAAGGCAACTTTAAGACAGCAGCCACTCAGTTGGAAGAAGTGCAGACATGTGTCATGGCAGATTTCTCCTGCTCCATGGTTTGTCCTGAAGCTGAGCCCTTGGCCCTTAAACAAGCCTTTGCTTAAGCAAGCACAGGCTGGCCAATAAGACTCTGAAATGGAGCCTCATTTTCAACGACTTTGGGTTGCCTCTGCTTGTATAACCAAATGAGAGGTTTTAAAATATGAGGCTATCCTGCAGCTTAAAGTTACAAAGTAAATCTTCATTCAATTATTTCCTAAGTACAAAATCGCTCTCCTCTAATCCTCTATGTGATATGCTTATGCTGTTCAACAGTGGTGGATGACACATGAAATGCACAAATCACACTAAGCAAATGACATGGGAGGACAAAAAACAATCAAGACCACAGGCTTGGCCAAATAATGCTTTTTAATGTTAACTAGGTATAAAATTGAGATGCTCAGTCCACTGATCCATGTTCCATGCTAATCTTACTTATTGGAAGTAAAATCAATGGAAATTAAGGAAGGTTTTCGCCATCTGTCAAAGGTATATTTCAGAGACACAACAAATAACAGTCATCTATGTTTGGCTCAACAATTCACAAAATTTCCAAAAAAAAAAATAGGTGTGTTGTAATGCTGCCATGTTGATGTTAACAGTGGTTCTCTCTCATGCTCCGTAGTCTAAAGAACAAAAACCAGCAAAGGGCAGGCTGAAAGCCACACACTCAGCGTGAGAGAAACAACACTCCGCTCTGACTATGCTCCCCCATGAATCTGATAAGAGCCGATTTAACTATAATGAGTCCTGGCCCATTGGATATACATGGGGGAGCCAAGAGTGCTTTGTTTCTGTGTCAAATATCATCACGCAGATGGATGACTTGGGGCTCTTGATATGGGACAGTGTTTCCTAGAGTGATCTCGGGCAAATGGTAAACCAGAGACGTTTCCCATAGTCCATTCACACATAGAGCTTTACTAAAAAAAGAGCCTGGTGAACTGATGCTACATGTACAAAGGAATCAGTTGCAGCTAAGTGCTTCCTGCTCAGCACTCCAGGAACATCAATGTAAACTCCTCCTCAGGAACGCTACCAACACTGATCACACACAAATCAAGTAGGTGCAGCAATGGTTCCAACCTGAGAGAAAATTTCAGTTAAAGGTAATTAATCACCACCTCATACTTACTAGGAAGGCTATTCTTAAAAGAAAGAAACCATAAAATAACAAGTGATGGCAAGGACAAGGAGAAATTGGAACCCTCGTCCATTGCTTGTGAGAATGGAAAATAGTGCAGTCGCTATGGAAAACAGTGAAAATTAAACACAGAATTACCACATGATACAGCAATTCCACTCCTAGGTGTATACCCAGAAGAACTGAAAGGAGGGTCTCAAAGAGATATTTGCACACCTACACTCAAAGCAGCATTAGTCACAATAGTCAAAGGT